GGCAAAAGAGAATTCATCCAAAACCCCCTTTTTACCCATCATACCCCTCTCCCTCTTTATACCTGTCCCCCAGTTACCTCGGACATCTGGAGTCTTTGACTCTCAACCAGAGGCATTCACCGAAAAAAAAAAATCATGAATTACAACATCCCTCACATCCCCAAATTAATCACGCATGTGTCAAGTTATTTTTTAAGCGCCTTGTTAATTAGCTGTGTCACTTTCTCCCCCGGGCCATTCTCGGGCCGGGAATAATAAACCGCTGAAGACAATCAGATTTTTTACTTCTTCACCGAAGACAAGAAAAATGAGATCAGCCCATTCAACTTCTCGACCGCACGGAAAAACGGAATGAGAGGGTGTTTCACGGCTGAATCGGCCGCAGATTGAGCTGAAAAAGGATACTGGACGAAAACTTTCACCCGGGGTTGAAGTAATTTTTGTTTTCATTCGATTAAAATCTCGAGAAAAGTTTCACCACCGGAAACAATTGGTTCATTTAATCGAGAAGTTCATTTTTTATCCAATCGAGTTAATCACTAAAATAGTTGAATTATTTTTCCGCGTAATTTCAATTGTTTGCGTACAATTAAGTACTCTTTCGAGATTGCGATCGATGGATGGCGTTTCCTGATCCTTCATCTTCTTACGATTTCGATTAAACACGAAAATCGATATAACCAGAAACGTTGTCGAAGCACGCTCGGATGATTGGGTTAGTCGGGTGAGGCTAGGTACCGTGACACGTTGGCAATCGAGCGATATACCAAGTGGTATACGAGAGTGGGTGTGGGAATAGAGTTGGGATTCTGATGTAAGTGCCATCATCACACGAGTCTCCACCTGAAGTCTCTTCACCTGGGTCAACCCAAAAAAAAAAAATCCCCATCGCCTTCAAACTCTCCCTCCAATACCCCATTATCTATTTACCTCCCGTTCATCTCGGGAAATTCTTCCCCGAGTAATAACATGAAATAACCAAACTCATTGCCATGATTGAAAGAAAAAAAAAAGTCGTCTAAATGAAATACAGGAGTTCGTTAGTGGCCGGAGCCCGCGGATTACTTTCCCATTTAGATTTTATCACCGCACCGCCATTTTCCCCATTCCCGGTGGATCGACCACCCGGTGAGACCGGCACATTCGAGAGTAAGAAAAGACATCTCCTTTGTTTTTCCTAATTACCCCCCGAAAACGGCGACCTACCCAAATGATCATTAGGCGACCAGCCAAGAGGGTAGTCCTCACTTTCATTACAAAGTACCAAATGGCCCGTGCGCCACCGAAAAAAAAAAGAGAACGCACACATGCACCCAGACAATACCCCAGATTACGGACAAACACCGCATAATGATTGATTAATATGCGCACCTACCTGGCATACTCACCCTGTCCACCGATGGGGTCCAACAAAAGACTTACCGTACAAAAATCCCGTTGTCCACCCATGGGTCCGGAGCGTTTAATCCAAGAGCCATCATCATCGCACCTGGTAGCAGCTGCTCTGCCCATTCTGCAAAGAAAAAAAAAAAAGAATCGTGAATCCTCAACGATTCCTCGGGGCAACCCTTTCGATTGTTTTATACCTCACCATCCCCCGGAGATCCACAACCCGACTGGTCACCTCGGGCAGCTATTCTGACATTTTTTCTGGCATTCCGCTCCTCTCCCTCCAAACAAAGACAAAGACCTGGACAAAAAAAAAAGCAAGCACCGAAGAAGAGATGAAAAGGGGAGAAGCCCTGGCTCCCCATCTACAAATTGTCTATTTGGGGTTACAATTTCGGATGCGCAAGGACGCTCGTTAAGGGCTTAACCCCTTCCAACCAAGAATAGGAAGTAACCCCTTCTGAAGGAGAGATCTGGTGCGAGCTGGAGGCGACGAAAATCCATTATTCGTCTTCTGTTCAGAGTGATAGTTTTTACGTATGGAAATGAGCTGGCATTGTATCAAAAGAAGCACCTATCGTGCCGTTGAAAGAAAAAATGGCTGAAAAAAGAAAACTCATAACCAGGTCAAACGGTGTTATCCGGTTGAGATTCTTATTGCAGGTTGTACGGAAGGACAACAATGAGGGTAGTCCGGTTTCAGGTTTGAAGGGTTGCGATGAGATGATGGTCACATGATGAAGAACGGCACAAGATGAGGAGCCGTTGCCTGATGGAACGGAGGGTAGACCTTTTTGGGGTGGCTTGTTGCAACAGTATCAACCAGATAGGAAGGCTATTCAGCGTTGTGTAACGGTCGGCATTCAAGTGACGCTGTTAGACAATCGATACAATTAACGGGGAGCACCTGAACAGCACGGGAAATTCAATCCACCGGGTTTGTTCGCTGGACCACTGCATGATGATGATGATGATGATGGTTTTGCAAAGAATCCACTGCCAGAAGCATCACCAAAACTCGTGAATTCGGGACAATAGTTCATAGACACATGGACAGACGACTTAATAGGACTAACGAATCCTTCCTGGCTAGTCCATTCACTCGGACAATGCTTCCCTAGGTGAGAAAAAAAGTCGTTCACCATTCTCATTATAATCCTAGACACCAAAGCCGAAATCCTGTCCATTATCTCAGAACAATATTGAGCATCCTGATTTTTGGGGGAAAAAATGACGGACGTTCCATTTTGCTGGAGGCAGCCCCTGACCGTGGACGATATTTCCAGGGTAAAGTGTCTAGTCGATTCTGTCTACAAATGAAATGGAATTGAGGGAAAGGCCAGCACGAACGAAGAGAGAATTGCCGAGATGGAGGAATTTGGCTGTACAATTTGCACGGTTTGTGGCACGCGTATCCTTCCAACAAGGCAAGGCCTTGGTTGTGGTCAACGTCAGGATTTGAGAAATACAGTACTCTACCAAGACGTAGCTACCCCAAATGCATTTGTAGACAACCAATACCAAGTCTGAACACCAAGGAGCTGTTGTATTGGTTGTGGAGTTGTAGTGATGCCTTACACGCATATTCGATTGAGGAATTGGTGAGGAAGAACAGCATCAGCAGTAGCTAGTACGTGGTAGTGCATCGAGTTACGGTTTCGAAATTGAGAGCAAGGGGTTCGGAGGGAGGTAAAATTGGAGTAGGGGATCAACGAAGCACGCGTGTTAAAGCTTGCCTGCCTCTCCCCGCGAGCAAACCATCATCGACTCCAAAGGATGGTGCGTGTATGTGTGCTAACCCCCCGTTTGGACATTGGGGTGGATGTACAAGTATATATGAGGGGGAGTTTGGGTGGAGAGATGGAGGTTTACCAGTGGCTTCTCTCACACTGGCTGTCTATCCTGCTTCCACCAACTGCATCGGACCTTCTAGGTGAGGGATGCCAGTAGCACATACACAATCATTGCGCGCGCCCCGCGCAAATGTCCAAACGGGAGGGTGTTTCAACACTGGGTGTGTATGTACCGGGCCATGATGGTTTAGGTGAGGTGGCCGGTTTTGGTGAGGTGAGGTGGGGGCGCCCAACACGGGGCCACGGCGCAGTTGCTGCTCAGACACGGGGATGCTCGCAATGCCTCTATCAAAGGTTACTCATTATTTGTGATTTAAATATTTGTGATTTTTAACGATTAAATTGTTATAATTCAACCTAATCCGCGATTAATCCGAGTTTGAAGGAGTTGGGTGGGACTGGGGGGTTTGAATTGTGATTAGGAAGGATCTCTGGTATTTGTGGGGGAAAATCATCTTGGGCGGATGTCTCAGTGATGATTTTTGATGGTGTGACGTGGGTAACGCGACGCGCGGCGAGTTTCTAAAGTGTGTGGGTTCCACGTGGTGAGAAAAGTCGGGAAAGCCCCTCAAGGCGGCGCCGGGGGTAAGGGTTGCGCGGGTTGAGGGTTGGGTAAGGAGGTCTCACGGGGTGATGGGGGGGTCTCAGAGGCACGGCAACGTCGCCCTCCACGCTCGCACGTCTTATCGCGGCTCTAGGTGATAGCCCTGAAGGCGCGGGTGAGGTTGGTTACGGGGGTGAGAAAGATGGCGGGGGGTAAGGGTGAATGCACACTCCAAGGGGTGGATGTCAGATATCGGGGGAAGGGGCAAAATTCAAAGACGCTCATTCGTTAGAGTGGGGACACGTGACTCTCTTATTATTACCGCGGTTTTTTATCGAGGGGAAGCGGGAAATTTGAATTTTATAATGACGTCTTCGGGGTTTTTGTGGAATAGGAAATGGCCGCCACACTCACGTCATGGACGATGACTTCATGACTACGGGGGAGCGTTTGAGTCATCGATTTTTCAGGGTGGAGCTTTTGTTGCGTTCGGGGGCGGAAGTTGATGATTTAAAAAATTTTTTTTTTATTCTTTTGTAGCGGGGACTACTAGATAGGTTACTGGAGATCCTTTTTAAGTCATGATTTAAACGGGGTGATTGATTAATTGGGAAATTAGTCATTCAGAATGTCTTTTGAATTTCTGTTTCAGACGCGTCGCACTGTGTTGTTATGTGTTGTAATAGTAATTATTTCATTGAAAAATTAATTTCACCGTTCGTATAAACACACACAAACCTTAACACCGATTTAACCGTCTGTGTACAAGAGATACCATAAAAAGCCGAATAATACAACCACAATATAAATAAAGTCTGAATCAACTCCAAGAACATCAAAGTAAAGAAACTGTAAATTTGAATTTTTCATTTGTCGACGTATTGGAAAATTTTTTATTAAAAACCGGATCTAAATTAAAATCCTTATTTCAACATCACGGATCAAGTTTTTCATTTTGCAAAATTTCTACAAAATTGAAACTAAAACGACGAAGTGATATCTAAGAAACAAAAAAGATAGAAAGCAAAAAAGAAAAAAATCAAGAAAAAAAGCAAAAAAAAAACGGAAAGATTTTAAAAAAGAAAAAAATTTAAGCAAATTGCCTTAGAAAAAAAAATAAACCAAAAATATACCATCAAGGAACAAAAAGAGATGAAACAAAAAACATAAAAAAAAGTTGAAGAATAAAAAGTTTTAAATTAAAAAAAAAAGAAGAAACCAAAAAAGTAACTCTTTAGACGAAGAAGATAAATTGTAAAGATATGACTAAAGTATATTTTTAACAAGTTTTGAGAAACTTTAGATTTTAAAAGTAAATTTAAACAAAAACTCAAGCAAACTCAAGATTTTAAATTTAAATAAAAACGTAAACAATGAACAAAAAAAAAGCGATTAAAAATTCTTTATAATCTAAAAATGTGATCTAAAAGTCGTTGCTACCAAGAGAGCCTTATGTCCTTGTTTCAATTAGTTCGGTTCACAACGTAAGTACCTAAACGACAATTACTTGATAAAATTGCATGAAAATATTGATTCCCCCAAAAAATTCCCCTACCAACCAATTGAGTCCCTATCGAAGATAAGCTCAACCGCAAAAGACAAACCATATGGAATCACTTCCATTTTCCCCCTCGACGTCAAACCTCGATCAAACTCAATATTCGAAAAAAAATCCATAAAATATCCATATCACCTGCCTCAGCCCCAATTTCATTCCCGGATTCCCCAAGATAATAAAAAATCCCGGAAAAATAGTCTCAGGACCCCCAGCGCACGGTTGCCACCCGTAAAACCGACGCGCCCATGCAAAGAAATCCCGCTTCCATCTCCTATTTATGTTGGCAACCCTGCGCTCCACCATGGATTCCCTCTTTCAAACCCCAATCGATTGACTACCAATTTCCCATTTCCAAAAGCACCCAACAAAGTCAGCCCCTGCCGAGTCATCGAAAAAAAAATTTCCCGGAATTAAACGAGACGCGGAATGCCGGTGCAAACATGCAGCCCAGGCAAGTCCGGGAAAGACCCCGGGATTGCTATCGCTAAAAGGGGGGGAGGAACCCCATTGATGGAGTGTGAGTGCAGAGGGAAAATTTTTTCGATGATTTTAAACTACATAGCCCATTCCGCTGCTACACATTCATTCCACCAGGCGGTAGTCGCGAGCGGGGTACAAAGGGGGGGACCGGGTGCATGATGGTGTCCCGGAAGGGTGGATGACGAGAGAGACCGAACAACCAGGGGATGGGGGGGTCGAGGGTGGAAAACGCGTGCTAGCCAATGTACACTCGCCCCTGTTGCAGTAACTTGGTAGGAAAAAAAAAAATTCTTTTTACCCCCTTCCCACGAAACCCTCAACGTATTGATCCCAGAGTCATTCAAAATGGCGGCTGGCTGGTAGAGTCAGCCAATGACTGTCTGAATCGATGACTGCAGGCGCATCCAAAACCCACCCCCTCCTCCTCTCAACTTCCACTCGGCTTGGCTATTTCCTACCCTCACCCTTGTCGTCTCCCCACGTCCCCCCATCCCATCCCCCTTTGTATTGTATTAGTATGCGTTTGCAGGCGAAACTGGCCAATACGAATGGGGGGCCAATGGGATGCCGCCAACGCGTGGCACACACAGACTAAATTCTCTCTCTTGCGGGTACCATGGCCCACACATACTTCGGGGTATCCAACCGATCACAAACCCCTCGCC